GAGATCATTGGAGTATACGAGGATGACGCACTAATAGCTACTTACGCAGACGACACTGCGGTGCTTACCAGAAGCAGAGATATCGATGTAGCTTCGGAAGCCTTACAGCAGTATGTAAGTAGTTTCGAGAAGTGGGCTCTGAATTGGAACATTGGTATCAACGCCAGCAAGTGTGCGAATGTCACATTTACAACAAGGCCGTCGTCATGCGGAGATATCACAATGTTGGGGTCCACGCTCAGTCATACAAATTCGCACAAATATCTTGGTGTAATTCTGGACAGAAGACTCAACTTCAGCAGGCATACAACAATGGTCAAGCGATCGGTCATGGCGAAAGCCGGAAAGATGGCATGGCTGCTTGCACCATGCAACAAGCTGTCCCTGCACAGTAAGGTGACAGTATATAAGTCCATATTAAGTCCAATATGGAAGTATGCGCTACCAATTTATGGCATTGCCGCTGCTTCAAACCTAAACAAAATAAGAGTTGCGCAAGCTAAAATACTCAGAAAAATATGCAACGCTCCCTGGTATATGCGCACTAGGGACATCGAAAGAGACTTATGTGTCCCCAAGGTTGGCGATGTCATTCAAATGCACGCAAGCAATTACGAGAAGCGACTCGGCAGTCACCCCAACGCACTAGCGAGGCGGCTCCTGTCCAAACCTAAGAAGAGAAGACTGAAGAAGTGCCATCCAAAGGATCTCCCCACAAGAGCCCTTGTATAAAATACATAGTATATATCATAAAATATAATCATTTTTCATGTAAAACATTGTAAATATTGTATATATGTACATAGATATAAGTGCGTCCTATAGATGCTTACTATAGACAACTTTTGTATTCCCTAACTTTCAACTAGCTTAAGCTGCCATATTGGTAGTAGAAAACTAGTTTAATAAATTGTATATATGTAAAAAAAAAAAAAAAAAAAAAAAAAAAAAAAAAAAAAAAAAAGATGTTTATTGATGTGGTTATAAGTCCCATTTATGCACAGTTATGTGAGCGGACATTAAGGGGTATTTCCAAAAAAAGCCAGTGATGTTACGAAAAAACGCCTCGTCGTCTGGTGTGTCACGCACAAAAATATGCAATGGAAGAGAAGAAGAAAGCAGCTGCCCCCTCAGATTGTGTATGAGTGTGTGTGTGTGTGTGTGTTCTTGTCGTCATGTTGATTGTCGACGTTGTCGCCGCTGTTTCCTAATCTCTGCACAACATCACGCTGTGCGCCGCTTAATACTCTTCAGCTTCACTGATGGGTTATACTGTGCTAAGCGCTTAAGTTTGTATCATTTTCAGAATTATAATGTTAACAGGAGAGTATATCTATGAAGCTTTCACTATAACAATTACAGACCGATAATACGTTAGTTTCAGAATGCTACAGTCACAGAAAAATATAATGTAATTTTCTGGACTGATTCTGCTTCAATTTATGGACTTTTTTTTTATTAAGTTGTGGATTTTGAATTCATTAATCGATCTCCAACTTAAAATCGAGTTTAAAATTGCCGCTGGTCTATTTTCTATAAAAACAATTTAGATTATTTACGTTTGCGAAGAAATTAACAACTACTCGAGAGCTGTAAAAATGAATCTGGTCTTCTAAGAATTTGCATCCTTAAAGCCTTTTAAAGGGACATTCCAATTTACTTTAATTGATACACTCTAATCTAATAGTCTTGTGAGCTTAAAATCAACATTCATGACTTACAGGGAATAACTTAAATTTGAATCAAATAAAGGAACTATATAGTTTCCTTCTGCAAGTTTATATACTAATCATATATAGATATAGGTTTTTTAATCTTTTGTCATTACTTTTTCACCAATAATTTACCATGGAACAGATAGTACGTTAAGTCCCACAGATAAGAAATACAACGTTGGATTTTAAAATAAAACGATGTTATTTTCTCTAATTGCGTCTTTATTAGTTTTGAAACCACACCCTTGGGTATTTTATAGATGTTCCATAATTGCTAGCTTTTTTGATACTATTTGATAAACAAACTATTTGAAAAGTTTCGGCTTAATGTGGACAACCATCTATAGCTGTCACAGATACAACAATAAAGAAGCGTCAAGAGAAAAACCAATTATTATTTTGTTATTCAACATTTAGAATAGGGTATGCAACTTTGACATAGCCATGGACATCTGTTTGAGTCGTTTTGTTTTGAATTCAGTGAAGCGATTACACAACGCCCTGAAGTATGCCTCACTAGATAATAATAATGGGGCATGGGCACTGGCACTGGCAATGGCAGAGTGCTTAGGCAACCCGGCTTGAGTTCACAACGGTTTGTTTGCTAATAAGCTCGATTACGCACCACCCCAGCTCCTATCCCAGACTTCTTCCCAGCCCCCGCTGTCCACGGCCTATTTGTTGTCGCCGGCACGTCAATAAAAATTTTGGGTAAATGCGCTTATTATAAGTCGCCCCTGACTGCTGCCGCCTCTGGCTGCCTGGCAGCTCGTCCTGTCTGTTGATTGCTGACTGCTTTGCTGTCGGCTTTTGCCTACTCACTTGATTTGTCCCGCTTTATTGATATCTGTGTATGTGTGTGTGTGTGTGTGGGGGAATGCGTGCGAGTGTGTGTGGGAGTGTGTGTTTTTATGGCATACTTTTTGGCGCGTTCGTGTGTAAATATGTGAGAATTTGTTACACATTTTTGTGTTTTTTTTTGTGTTTTTTGCCTCGTAATGCCAACGCTTCATGCTTGGCTGCTTGGGTGTGATTGTTTAGTGGATTTATGGGCACATGAAATTAGGATTTAATGTGCATATGTTTTCTGCCTTGAGTGGATTTATTGCATATCCCGGCAAATATCCTTTTGCTGTGTACTTAACATAATTTTTATGATGTATGAGCCATACGGCGAAGCGCCATTTAGGCCTCTGTCTTCGGTTATTGCTAACACAAAGCGTTTCGCCGCGTCTCCAGGCGGCTTAACTCTGAATAGGCTTAGCTCCAGCGACTGCATTCTCATGAAGGTGTTGTCTAGTGCTCGTGCTACAAATAATGCCGATTCACATTAAGTCTAGGCTTAGATGTGCCTGTCTTTCAGCCGCTAAGCTCGTGTATGTCTCTCTTCGCTCTCTAGCGTAGCTTTACAAATTCGATAATAGAGTTGTTGCAGAACGAAGAAACCATACCAATAGAAACTTCCAGCAAACTCGAATATATATTTCGATGAAAGTTATGCGAGACAAAATTAAGATAATGGCTTAAGTGACGTGGCAAAAGTTAATTAAATAAATAATAAATACAACCAGAACGATATCAATTACATAGCAGGAAATGGCCCCAAACCAACAATTATGAAATGCTTTTGCAATAAATATAAATCATTTATTTGCTACCACTGGATGGAAACAAATCCACATTGGTGTCTTGAAACAAATTATTTGAAAAATGTGAAAATGAATAAACGAGCAATAAAACATCAAATGCGAATTTACTGTAATTTGTAGCCAATTTAAAAGTACTTAATTAAGAAACAAATTAAATTCGACGTTCCCACACCTCAAAAATATTCATATAACAATATATAATTCTTTATTAAAAAAAATATATTGGGTAATACGTGAAAAATGAAATGAAATTGATAAATAAAACAGCAAGCGAAGTCCTGAATTTATTTCGACCCGTTGTTCCTTGATGGAGTAGTAGGAATAAATTTATAAATTAAAATATATTCATATAGTTAAGTATAACACGTTTTTCAACAAATTTGTTAAGTTGTTTACTTATTGCTTTTAGCTGTTTTGATGTTTGTCTCTCTCAAACAAAGTAGAATTGAAATAATATTGACCCCCAACTCTTATAAAACATTTGGTTTTTAAATAAAATACAAAAAGCCAACTTAATTGCATATGTTATTTATATTTACTTATTTAGAACATCAAACACACACAGTTCACAAATTTGTTTGCTGGCCAAAATATGCTCACACGTCCTTGTACTGGTGTATTCAACATTTACCAAAATATCTCATACAAGAGTCTTGAATAATTATTGAGAGATACGATTACGACACGACTTACTATGTTGCCTCTCATTTGTAAGAAATATTCAATTTGCATTGCAAGTCTATTTGGTTGGTTCACCAAAAATATTGGCTTGCTTGAGTGTCAATTGTGAGCCAGAAATATTCAGAATAGTTTTGTTGCATTCTCTCGTCTACGAAAAATTCATAATTTATTTTGGGCATTAGGGCTAAGCCAAAGGAGCCTGATGGACTGCTTTGAGTTCATATAAGGCCACTTCATATTGCTTGCTCTAGTTGCTTCTGCTGCTATTAAACTTGGCTTTAAACTCACTTTATTAAGTTAACTCAACTTTCCGGCATTTTAGCTTAATAAGTACAACAACAGCAACAACAACATTAACAAGAAGAGCTACAGCTACAGCAAGAACGAAAGCCAAATGGCGCTATTTAAATGCTAAACAACTCTATTAAGTTGCACCACACACGCACACACACACTCACACATCTCAGCGCACACACACACACATATAAGTACACACACTTGTATGAAAGGGCAGCTTCGCAGCTTTGTGTATGTGTGTGTGCGTGTGTGTGTGTGTGTCTCGAACCTCAGCACGTTTCAAATACAATTTACAATAAATAAAATTTAAAAGCGAGGCAAAAATGCTGCGACAAGCAAGACTGACTGGCTGACTGGCTGGCTGACTGACTGACTGGCTGAGAAACGGAGAGAGGGATAGGCAGAGGGACGGACAGGGGGAACAACTTAATGGCGCCTAGCAGTAGGCAACAGTCGACGAAATGAGCACGTGACGTTGGGGAAAAGCATGAAACTCATATGTGTGTACAGCATGTGGGATTCTTCGTACCGACTCGCGTCTGTATATGGAAATTCAAAATGCCTTTCCTTTGGCAGTTTCTGTTGCTGTTGCTGTTGCCGGTATTTGTATTTGTATTTGGGTTGGCGTTTGGGTTTGGGTTTTGCTTAGTTGGCTTACCTTTCTCTGGTATCACATTGACGGCCGTATCATCGCGAATGTCTTCTAGCAGCTCCTCCTTATTTTGCATTTCCGCTGTTGTTGACGCAGCAGCAGCACCGATTTTTTCCAAGTTCAGTTGACAGACACAGTTGAGGCATGAAACGAGTCGATCAAACATACAGTATAGCGAGTAAGACCGGAAAAGAGAGAGAAAGAGAAACATACAAGTATGGCATTAGAGTGTTACAGCTAATATTGGCTTACTTAGATTTGGTGTAAATTGAATTTGCGGCACATTTGCTTTGGGAAACTCGCCTAGGTCTTTCACTTTTGGATGCCTATACAACGCCCGGTACCTCAACGTTTCGCTTGGCACGTTTCGAGAGGAAAACTAAAGCCCGAGAAACACAAAACCCAAAAAACCATGCCGCACACAACACGCATGGAAAAACAACAGCAACAAATGCGCAAAGTGCAACCACAGTGCTAGCCACATGCTTTGCCACCAGCTGCAGATGCCGCTTTCCTCGACTCTCTTTCCCTCTGAGCTGACTAGCTGCATTTTTCCAATATTTTGGCCCATTTCTCCAATCCCTTCTTAACGGACTGTTTGGTATTTTTAGCCCCAGTCCCAAATGAAGCTGCACAAAATGCATAATACTCAGACTCCTCGCTCCTTTTCAGATGTGCTATGCCATAGAGGCCATATAAAAGAATTGGCCAAATAGATTTATGCTTACAAATGTTGGCTAGAAATTTGAAAACATTTGGCAACTTTTCCCCACCCAATACTGTACAGAAATGAGTGCTTTCAAATGTCAATTTTTGAATCCCTTTTTAAGCTAATTTATAGAATTTCTTGACAATTTAAAGAGTAATCTACTTAATTAGCAATACAGCGTGAACAAAATATACAAATCATTGGAATTGTGGTTACTATTTTTATTCAGATATATCATAAATGTGGGAAAGGGTGTGGAACGTAGTGCCAACAGCCCTCCAAATTCACTATATGCATAAAGAATAGATGAAGTTGAACGATGAGAGGAGGAGTCGAAAAGAAAATGTGAAACAAGGCGGTTGCATATAAAAGAAGAAAGACGAAACGACGCTGTTATTCAACTAAATAATTCAATTAAACAATTTCTTGTACTACAAATATATTCATTAAAACTATTAAAACATATTAATTTGGAGCCTTGGATCCTTTATTTCCATTAAAAGTATCCCAGGTCCCACATAAATATGAATTTCTCAATAAGGCAACTACTCTTCTATATAAAGGAGTTGAGCTACTCCCACAATTGATAGTAAAAGGCGCAGTGCCTTATCCTTTCGCTTTTGTAAGACTCTCCATTTATTGATATAACAGTAATTCTTAATAAGGTCCGTACTGTGTTTTGTTGGAAATAAAAGTATTTCTATTTTGAAAAGTACAGCGTTATAATATTTTGTTTAGGCAATATTCTAGCAATCTATATTCTTAAATCTATATAAAGATGCAGTGCAATATTTACACGATTGTCGATTTGTTTAAGTGGAATTTTGCAGCAATTCCATAGATTTGTAGCGCATATTTCCATAGTGGGTTCAGAATGGACTTTTAAATTGTCACCTTACTGAACAGAGCAGCCACACACACATTTTGTTTTTTGAAATAGTTAAATCCGTAAGCCTTTCACGTACAAGAAATAAAATAGCTAGATGCGTGCAAAAAGCTAATAATCTGGATAAGCTGACGACTATGATGTTCTAGATGTGCGAATTCGGCATCACGCATTTATGTATTATTTCATATTTTCGTGCTGCTGTTGTTGGCACCACAAGCTCGGAGAAGGCAAGCCCTATAGGTTGGTGTGGAAAGATATTCATCTCAGTGTTTCAAATCAAATGGTGCAGCGCGCATTTAAGGGATAGGCTGCACAGCTTTAAACACCTATTGCCCAAGAAATCCTAACAGGTTCAACATACTGGTCAACAAGGAGGATGAGGAACAATTAATCAGTATCTCAAACAGACCCCCCTATGGCAGGGGCAGCTAGTATTACCCTAATAGTTAAGGCTGTACGAAACACTCGTAATTTTCGTCGCAAGAAGCCAGTTTGCAACAAGTGCTTAGGCGATCAGGCCAGTGACTCCAAATTGTGTGCATTACACCCGAGTCACAAAAGTATACGCGCGAATCGGGGTGAAGATCATATTTCAAAGCCATTTAAAGAATGCAAGGTCAGAATTGAGCTGGTCAAGAAGCTTAATCGAGATGCAATATTTTCCAAAGATGGATCATTTGAATTTGGTGTTAGATCTAATACTAGATATAATTTACATATAATTTAGATACTGACTGACTCTCCTCAATTAAAAGTACTGTTTAGTTTTTCCCGGGAAATGTGTATTTTTAAAACCCAATGCTATCGCAGGACCGTTAATTTGCTGCATTCGTGACTTATTAGTGCCTGCTGGCAGCCTTTTCTCTATTTTCGTGGTCACGTCGAGCGACCACTGTCTTCAAATCACGTCAGGCAATGAAGTTAAAAAACTTTGAAAAACTTTCGCAACTCTTTATTTTTATGTCCTGCCAACTTCTTCTTATGCCGGCAGGCAGCACGTAACTTTCTGTGCAAGCCGGGGTCCTGGCAACAGTTGCGCCTTATCCCTTTTGAACGCGTATGAGCGCACAACAAAAGAAACAGGAAGGAAAATGCATCCAAAAGACAGAACCACATGCCATGTTAAATGAGGGAGGGGCGGGCTCCGAAAAATGCAACTGAAAATATTACTCAAGTCATGGCTGTCAAGTCGAGCGCAAAAGTTGTTGCTGTTGATATTGAAAGTTTATGCTTCGGCTGCTGCATTGCGTTTGTTTGCGGCTGCATTTGATGTTTGGTTTTCTGGGCTTCCTCGCCCTTTGCTGGTCCCCTATGCTCCTGGGTCCTACAATATTGAAATGCTGTACGATATCGAATTTATTGCATACTTTTGTGCGTCGCTGGAACCACAAAATTTGAGCTTGCCTTTCCAGCCAGCTGTGACATTTGCACAAAGTCAATTCGGAGAAGCAAAGGCAATGAAATGGGAATGAAATGCATATGCCCCAAGCTTCTAAATAAAGCAATGCATGGAAGAATATACCGAATCGATCGAAACTTGAAATGTTTCGAGGTAAAAGTATAAGTCTGCTTACATATAAATATGTACATATTTTCAAAGGAATTTATCTTCTTTTTTTGGGAATAGAACAAATTTCTAAATTCAAGTTGATGGTTTACACAGAGCTTGGTAGTTATAATTAAATAAAAATAAATTGAAAATTAAATGAAATTACAATTTATTGTACAAATTAAAAGCCTATCAAATCCAGAAGGCTGAATACTCAAGTTAATTTTTAGTTATTATTTTGTCTTTGGTCATTTCTATTAAATAAGTACGTCTTTGTGCTGTCAACAAAATGTTTGTTTGGGAAGCTGGCTAGAAGGAAAATGTAAAACATAAAATCTAATTGAAACTTTGGGTTTTGCGAAGTGTTACTTTTGCTTATTTGGCATTGGCTTTTGAACTTTCTTTTCATAACATGTTTATATTGCCTTTGCCATTGCCCTGGTCGATGTTGTTGCTATTATTATTTTCCTTCTGTGGCTGCTTATGCTCCAATTACACTGCACATTCATTGATGCGGCTTTGCATTTCATTTGTAGTTGTTCTTGCGATTCACTCGCCTTGGCATTCAATCCACTTCACTGGTTGAATTCGAATTCATTTGCCTTATTGAAGTGCCTGCACGCATGCGAGTACTGTTACTGGGACCTGGCCCCCAATAAATATTTGGCTTTATTTTTGTCTGCCTGCTCAAAAATGTGCCACTTTGGCATGAAAGTAAGTAAAAATCAATACTACAGCGTTCGTTTACTTTAGTAAATAACACATGCCATATATGTATTAGACACTGTGTGTGTATTTGCATTTAAATTCAGAAATGTGGCAGCTAATTGAAAACTTATGGCAAGAATAAACAAATGTTGAAATAAGTAAAGAATACCTAAGTGTTTTTAATGCCCAATCAAGAAATTACAGAGAATAATAATTTAAAGTTCGTTGCTAATCACTTTAAGTATTTTAAGCAAAGCCGCATTTATTGGGAATTTGAATCATTTGAATTTGTGGCCTTTTCCTCAACAATATAACCATATTAGAATGCAGTTCAACAGCCCTGCTCCTTAAAGACGAGTACGTTTTCAATACCGTTGAGAATGCCGTTTACAAATATTTCTACATAATGGTATTTGTGAAATACGCATAACTTGAATTTTGTAATTAGTTTGTTGTTTGTATTACTTATTCGATGCACTTTTTTTTGAGGGCCAGAAAAAGGATTAGCTCTCCCTCAGCACCCTCAATAAAAATGTAAGATTCACATTTAATTGTGGGAAATTATTGCAGAGATTCTTACTTCCTTTTACATAATCAGCTTTGACTAATATAGTAGTATTTAATGCTCAGCTCACAAAAATTACGACATTTTATTGATAAGCCCGCCAGATGATGTTGAAGAATGATTCCATGATTTCTCATTTATATCAGACATTTGTGGATCGCTCTTTTAAAATAATGGTCGACACATCCCTAGTTGTATCTAAGCTCTGTAAAGCTACCACTAGTAGTCTAAACTAATATTGATCTGAAAACTGTTCCCTCTTAGCAGAACATATTGTTACAAAATTTCAAAGCAACCACTCAATTAACGGTTTAATCAATAGCCGATCTAATGATAAGCAGTTTTTAATAGGGAGTTACTAAGAAAATAGGTTTTGATAATACTAAGAAGAGGCAGGAAAACTATACCTACTCTCTATAGTATTTCAAAGCAAACACTTTAAAGGGATACTATAAGGATTTCTGTGTCTTTTCCCTCCAGCTACGTGCCCACCGCTGCCTACAGAATAAAAAAAAAAAAATAACAAAATAAATGGTTGGTTTTTCGGTGCACCTGGAAAATGTATGCCTGTCTTAGAAGCGACTGAATTTCAATCTCCAGTTGCATTAAAATTCAGCAAATCTCAAGAGAATAAGCAGCAACATGTAATAACATAAATCATCCGTATAAACCATAGTTTTATGGACTCTGCCACTAGAATAACTTCACATTATTCAGCGCCTTAAGTCCCCCATGAAACCACAAACAAAGCATATCATTTATAAGTACTAGTATATAAACCCCTCTATGCTTTCACTATTCAGGCCCCACTCCGGCAGCTGCTCAGTTGATTTGCCTCGAGGCAGAGCTGCGTTTGTGTCATTCATGAAAAAAGAACGCTTCGATTCGACCTCAAAACTTCATTAGCTAAAAAGCACGCGCCAAATTAAAACGACAAAAACAACAAACGTACTCGTGAGAACAAAACACAAAAAAGAGGAGAAAAGTACAGAAGGAAAATGGAAGAAAGGGAGCAGGAGCGTGCATGCCGTGCGCCATAAATTTCACGGTGGCAAAATAAATGTAAAGTAAATGGCGCTAATTCAAAGTAGATTTATTTATTATGCCATTTTTCGTGCGATGTGCGTCGGCAGCGCGCCAAGAAATATGCTTTAAATTCCAAAAAAGACGCTGTACCCTCTGTTGCTTTTGTTGTTGTTGCTGTTTGTGATGCTAGTAGACAATGAGATAAGTTTAGAAGTGGGGCCAAAGCAAAAAATAAACAAATAACAACAGCAAGAATAGGAAAGTGAAATGCTTCCAAGCGCCAGCGAGCAAAAAACAAACAATCCAATGAATACACTTGTATATGTATGTGTATGTGTATAAAGGATATTACCAAATAGAAAGAGAAACTTGTGGCAAGCTTTTAGGCAACAGAAACTCTTACACACACACACAGTCGCTTGGAATTTCTGCTGTGGGTGTTTGTGTTTGTGTCTGCGGGTGTTTCTCACGAATTTTAATTTACGCTTCTTGCGGCGCTTTTGTGAGCGCGTGAGCCCCTCTTTGAGAAGCGACACACCTGCTGCGAAACTCAGACATACTCGTACTGCTCTTGATTTTCGACTATTGCGTCTTCCTCTTAGGCCCGCTACGTTCCGTCTCGCCTGTCAACAGCTGCCGTCAACGCCACAGAGTTAAGCCAATTTTCGCAGCCGTGCCTCGACATTGTCGATGATTTATTAGCCAAGTCGCAGACAGACCAGACAACGTGGGAGAGCGAAGTGGGGGGAGCGTGGGGCAGTGGGAAGACAGCTGAAGCTTAACCATAAGCCCTGTAATATCCCCCTTGCCGTTTTTGTCTCAAACTGTTTACAAGCTCGTCTATGATTTTTAAGTGTTGTTCTTAGCCTAATGAGACCAATTAAACGCATTAGCATAAATTTGCGCTGATCCCGCCCCAACTGACGCTTATTGTTTAGCCGCCGTAAAATTATGTTATTCGACTTAAGAGGCTCCTGAATATTCCTGGGCGGCATCGTCGAATGAAATACAAATACATTAATACAAGTATAGCGGTATCATTAACACATTTCATTGATTGTCCATTCAAATTAACTAAGAGATTGAAAATTAAAAAGCAATAATTTAGTGGCATACGAAGCTCTGTTTGCCGTACAAAGGCAATAGCCGGTTAGGCGAAAGATAATGCAACCAAAGCATGTAAGTCATATTCCTATATACTTGTATAGAATATTTCTATCTTGATCCTTCAAAAATATTTCATGCCATTATATTGGAAATATTTTTATATATATATCAATACGATTTAACATTTAAGTTAAAAGATTTTTGAGAAATGCAGTTAATTTTAACCTAGTATTACTCTAACTCTATCTAAGTTCTCCATTCTATACGTCTCTTTTAACATATATAAAGCTACACAAACATGCCAAAGAAAAGTGTATTTACAAGTATGTCCTGTGCAAAAACTTACATTTATTTTTTTAATTTCACGTTTCCCACTTGATATGAAAAGTTGTTCTCTTTTCTTATTATTATACAAGTAATTCTGGCAGGCTAAATTTTATTTATAAATTATTTATAATTATATATGTATAATTTAAAAAATAAAGAATGCAAACTAAATTGTACTTTATGAATATGTTGGAGATAAATGTCTATCCAGAGGTGATAGAAAAGGATTCAGGCAAAACATTACTGCCACTAGACATTAAAAATAACTCTAACAACAAATTTTCTTAAAGTCTGAAAAACTATTTAGAGCCGTAGACGTAAGGAGACATTTAGTAATATCCAGAGAATACTTGCTTTATACATCCTAAGGTAATATTGTAAAGTTTTATATGCGATTTAAATATTGGGGGCCTTCCGGATTACAATTATTTTTAACAAATAAGTGATATCTTACAAATATTTAGCTATACTCCAATACCCCATATTTCGACGTCGAATTCATCGGACGATTCACCACTAACACAACGTGTTTTGTAACCACAGCCCTCTATATCCTCCTTTGAACTGCATAAATAGTTGTAGTCCTTATGTACACCCCATAAACACTTCATTCCGGCATGCTTTGCAACTTCGTAGGTAAGTTGGCATCGATCTCTGCTACATCCATAGACGCAGTACATCAGCTGGACAGTGGTACCCTCGTGAAAGTATCTGGAAATTGCACAGCCGACTGCGTCGTTGAATCCAAATATCAGTTGAAGAAAATGTCCAATTTCCTTTCTGCCATTCGTAAAATAAATATAAGATGCGGGTACACAGTTTCAAATACACGGTTTCTTCTTCCTTCTCTCACTTACCCCTCCTGCCCTATACCAGTATCTAAACTACTGATAGTGGTGTACCTATACTGATAATACCATGCCTTAATCTGTGCACGTATAATTTTTACTTCGTCTTGCTCGCCAGTAAATACGTTATAAGCCGAGTTATAGCCAGGATCCGAATATTCGTTAGTTGCTAAGCACTGTTTAACATCTTGGATACCGCAGCGCTTTACCAAGACCTCAGCTACAAAGGCCAGCTCTGAATTCCACTTCAGAGCCAACATAAATCCTGCGGGAGGCAAGCCATGCAGCTTGCCACTGGCCACAAGGTTTCGATACGCATTATGTTCTCTTAGAATTAGATCCTGGCTGCTGCTCGATATGGTCACCAAATACTCATCACTACCGCAATCATCCCAATTCCAATCCTGCACATAAGAATTACTTCCATCATTGTATAATTAAATCAAAGGGAACAACTTACTACATTTCCGCAAGCCAAGTGTTTCAAAGCATCCTCACACAGCTTTTTATGGCAAAAGTCTATTTCCTCTGGTTCCCCCTGCGCCAACACCAAAACCAGAAAAGTGAACAGTCGCTCCATTAGCTACTGCTGCCACAATTTTACAACTACATCTGAAGATTTTAATAGAGTCTCTGCTTTCTCGATAATTCCCAAGACGTATCCAATGAGTCAATTCGTTATACATGGCCGCCAATTGGCAACACTATGTGCCTGAGTATATTTTATCGTAGCATTCCTATGTTGGTTAATATATGATCAAAATAGTTAATGCGAGATTTGTAAAATCGTGTATAAATAATTTCGGGATCAAGCGCTCCAATTTTGAGTACAACGTGGAGTGAATTCAGCATAGATAGGAAAGCAAACCCATAAAGCGCGCTTTAGAAATTCGAAATACTTTTGCACATTCGACGAATTATATGAACCTTTTTCTTTCGTTAAGAGTACTCTAGATTTTTAGATTCAAATGTATTTTTATATTGTTGAGAAAAACATCAAGAGAGGAAAATACCCTGGACCCAAATAAATTTCAATAGCAGAAGAAAAAAGAATAAGACCGCCGTGTTTGCAGTTTGTGTGCGCAGGAGAGAAAGTTACATTTCTTAGCATAGGCCGAATTGAAACAGACGAATATATATTAGTTACGTATTCAAAGTTTGGATTATGTAGCTTTGACAGCCAGTGTCAGGACAAAGGGAACTTCCAATCACAATACTTTCCACTAACTACTATATGTCGAATAGATTCTACAAATAATAAATTAATTGAGTGCAATAATTCTAAAAATTCCACGGCACTTCTCAAATTGATTCCACAAAGAAAATTTTGTTTTCTCAATATACAAATTTGAACTATAATTATTTACAAATATTCGGATGCAAAACTAATGGCAGAAGGGAGGAGATATTTTCTTTTTCAACTTCTAGGAAAGTAGGAGACACAGTCTTTTGGGACCTTTTGAATTGGAATTTAAATAACACACACATACACATACACGTATTTCTGTAATGCTCACACAATACACTCTCTCATATTTGAATACAAGATAAATTAATAAATACAAGAATTTTGTACTTTATTCTAAGAGCGATTCCCAATCGTCAGAGTCTTCCGAATACATCGCCTCCTGCTGCTGCTGGGGCCTCTTCCTCCTTTTGGATGGGATTGGAATCGGGTCTTGCGACAAATCCACATCGTGGTTTGAACTCATATAATCTTCATATAAATATGGCACTTCACAATATTCGTTATATTCACAGTTCTCCACAAATTCAGCTTTACTGCACAAAAATTTAAATTCGTAATCTATACCAGTTCTACATCCGTCCGCAGCTCGCCTTCCAAGAATATAAGTGAATCCGCATCCAAATCTGTTACATCCATAGACGCAGTACATCATTTGCACGGTTTTCCTCTTCGTAGAGAATCTGACAATTGCGCAGCCGATTGCATTGGAGTATCCAAATATCAGTTGAAGAAAATGTGAAATGTCTTTTCTGGCATGCGTAAATTAAATAGATGATAGTTTTCGATTAATCGGCTTTTCCTCCTCTCACTTACCCTCCAGAACCTTCACCAGTGGCTAAGCTCCTGACAGTGGTGTATCTATACCGGTTATACCAAGATCTAATCTGTGCACGTATAATTTTCAGTTCGTCCTGTTCGCCATTAAATATGTTGAAGGCCGCGTTGTAGCCAGGCATTGAAAACCTGTTGGTTGCTAAGCAAAACTCATAGTCTGGTCTTTTTAAGGTGCAGGTTTTTGCCTTCAGCTCAGCTATCGTGGCCAGCTCTGTATCCCAACTGAAAGCAATCATATATCCAGACTTTGGCAGTCCCCGCAGCTTTCCACTTGCCACAGTGTTCCTGTACACATTATGCTCTCGTACAATTAAATCCCTTGTGCTTGGTGATAATTTTAAAAGCACAGCATCATCACCGCATATTTGAGTATCAAAGCCCTGTTAATAACAATTACTGCCATCATCATGATAGTAGCAAATGGATGATCTTACATGAATATAGCAAGCAATATGATATTCTTCTTCATCACACAGGTCGGCTTCTTGGCGACAATGGTAATTCGACGCCGCGCAACCTCCCAGCACCAATAGGAAAATAGTGACAAGTCGCTCCATTAACTTCCGCTGTCCTTATCATGACAACCTCAACTGAACATTTAAATGTAGACTCCTCTTCTATGTACATATTTATCTCAACCATAAGCCGTATCGAACTAAGCAATTCGTTATAGATTGTTTCCAATTCGCAACACCACAAAGAGTAAGCGTAGTATTATTTCTATTGTATAATCTCAATCATTGATAGGCGATTACTGAAAGCGTATGTATTTTCGCCCGGGAAGTTCAGATGGTACTTTTTTTACACTCTGTGCATGCAATGTACAAGAGTATATTAGGTTTCCGGATCAGCTTGTTTCGTTATTGAAATGAATCTAACAATTTCGCAGCCGACTACATCACTGAATCCAAATAAGTGTCATTGGAAGAAAATGTGTGTATTTCCATTGATGGTCTTACCCGTTTCTAAGCTGCTGGCAGTGGTGTACTTATACTGACTATGCCACACCCTAATCTGGGCATGCATGATTTTTAATTCGTCTTGCTCTCCAGGAGAATTAATTGTTTTGATGATGCATTAAGTATATGCAGCTCGGAGTAATCCATTCAGCTTGCCACTTGCCACAGAGTGTCGGTACGTTTTATGCTCCGTCAAAATTAAATTTCGAATGCTGGAAGAAGTGGCCACATAGTTGTAAGAGTTACCACGAGCTTCCTCATCCCAATCCTGCCCATAAAACTTGCTACCTTCATATATTTGTTGCAAATGAAACAACTTACAGAAATTACGCAAGCCACATGATAGCCATCCTTGCATTTTCCTTCAAGAAATGGAAATGGAATTAAGCATTTCCAAATCATTAGTTTATCCCAAAATCAACATTTCCTTTACACCATGGTGGCTGGTAATACCGTCCATAGTGCCGAGTGGAAGCGTTTGAAGAAGTCAGAAGAGAAGACAATACTGAAAATCGCGTTCCTTTTGTTTCCTGTTCATTTTGGTGTTTTAATAATCGCACAATCTATCCTATCCTATCCTTAGTTTATAATATTGACTTCATTTTAAATATTTGTGTTTCTAAAATAGTTGCTTTTGTCTGTCTGTCTGTCTGCCTGCTTTGTAAGTTAGTTTTTAATCCAATTTGGCCGACGCACTACGTCCATTGATTATCGAACTTAAAGAGGCAGCGTACGTGAGAAGCCACCGATAGAATGAGTTGATGATGAGGTGAATAGTTTCGAAACTGAGCAGTCGAAACTACTGTCACGTGCTCGGCTTTAAGAGTTTTCTGACCATACATTGTTGCTTGCCAGCAGGAACTTTGGCTGCAGATCGAGCTCCAGTTACCAGTTTTCGGCGTTTGTGCAACCTCATGTGTTGTGCCAGCAGACAACTCTGTATTTTTACTTGCAGTTTAAATTAGCAAGGTAAATTTAGTGTTAAAATTTCAGCTGGCTGCTGGCTGCTGACTGCTTGCCGTTTTGGTGTCATGTGTCAGGCCAGAAAGTTGTTTTCGTTGCTTCCCAAATTGTGGCACAACTTTACCATTTTGCATTTATTAAGCTGCCAGACTCGTTACGTTTGTGGTTTTCATTTAGCAAAAGCCACTGCTGTTGCTGCTCCCAGTGCTCTAAGAAGTTTTGCTAATTGAGTTGTGCATTTAGTTTTGCATACCATTTGCTATCATACAAATATTTTTGATATGTTGGTCAAGCCTTGACAAGACGAGTGAGAAAGTCATAAGTAAAATGCGCCCGCAGGCAGCGGGCTAATAAGAAATATAAGCACAAATATAAATGAAACTACAAAGGGAAGAAACCTGCCGGGCAGCTTCAAAAGGTAAAAAAAAAACAAACAATAGCAACAAATAAAGCAGCGGGCCAACGTGAAATTATGTTAAAACAAACATTTGCCAGAAGCAATGGCGAAAGCAACAAAAAGCACAGCAGCCAACAAAGGCATGAAGCAGCAACAAAAACATACAAATTACGAAATCAACAACAAAGATCTAAAATTGTTCGGCCGTGCTGGCCAATTTACACCCTTCACATCGTAACTTTATTAACCAAAAGGTGTACATTTTCGAAGTTTACTCTGCCGTTTGCAAAGCCTCTTTATACCAACTTTACAAACTGCAGTAACAGATTTACATGTCTTGAAGATTTTTAAAGATTTTCTTTACTTTACCATTTGATTTGTTCTACGTGAATACTCTGGTATCTTATTTTTAAAACACGCAAATCTAACATAGAAATTCAAATAGAACTTTACTAAAATAGACATATAGATTAAAAATGAATGAAGCTTGAAACACCATTAAAAACCAAACAAATATCATAGGTTGTGCTATAAATAAATATATGTAAATATATGTAAACATTATAGAACTAGATAAACTGTGAAATGGGTAGTAGTATATGATAATAATATCTCTTAAATAAAATAATCAAAAATAAAAACTTTAACAAAATGTCCAACACAGATCAATGTACTCCTTCATTTAAACTGAAGGGTATAAAAACCAAACACACACATAAACACACACACACACACATACCATAACAGGCTCAAAAGCCAACAAGAGCGTCGCGCGTTGTGCTGTGATTGCTGCGACTGCCTCGGTGGCCCGCACACCGCACCACGCCCCTGCCCGGTCTTGTATGCTAAACAAAGCGGAGGAAAAAGTGTTGCATACTTTTAGCTGCAACTCGAGCGCGCCATGTGGAAGATGCGGCATGAAATACAAAAAGCCACACACACACACACACACAACAATGGCCAAATGCCTGTGGGCAGAGCGAGACAGCAACCGAAGTGTGTGAGTGAAACGGCGGTGGAGAGAGAAAGCGAGAGCGAGAGCGAGAGAGTGGAAGCCGTCGGGCAGACAACGGCAGAAAATGTTGCAGTCAGTTGGGAAATTGTTGAAAAATTGTCAAACAATTGCCGCTGCAGCAAGGGAATGCGTGCGAATATGTGTGTATTTATACATATGTGTGTATGCAAGCCTGTGTGTGTGTGTGTGTTGCTGGATAACTGTGACTTTGTGTGTGCAGAGCAAAAAATACGCAACAAATGCTCACACAGCAGTTAAATGTAATCATAGAGAAATTTAATTTGACAGCACCAAAGCAAAATGTAAAAGCAAGAATGAAAGGCATCCGATGTTTGCAACCAAAAGGCAAGCTGCCAGGTATGGCTTTTCAGGTAACAGGCTACACTATAGTATATGGCATATCCACATGCATACGATAACAAAGAGTGCGGCGGAAAAGGCTTTTCTCATCACAACAGTATCAAATCGTTTCTCATGCAGGCAGACAAAATCGCGGGTCTTATCTGCTTTAGATTTTATATTTCACAATCCCTGAAAATAGTTCCTTCAAAATAGCCATAAAGCCTTCAAATATAGTATGTTCCAAAAGTATCACACTTGTAGCGTTTTGGGACACATTTATTGAGCAGAGAACTTAATTTTCTGCAGAGAGTGGGTTCGTCAGGATTTAAAAAAAGCCATAGCTGCGTCTTTTCGCCTTCGAGTATTATTTCTAACTAAACTATAAAATATCCTTGGTGCAATCATTAATAATAAATCCAAATTGTGGCCCAGCCCCCTATAATTGGGATATGTGGTAGGATACTTGGCAATATATAGTAAATGAATGAATGATAAGGTAAGTGTATAAAATAATGGTGGAATCTTACTGATAATTTCGCTATGTCGCTATGTTCTTTGCAATTTATTTTCTTGTACTCGCGCTTTCGCGTTTTAGTCAACGTTGCAATTAGAGCTGTCTTCACAATCTTGAATCAATTGTTAATTTTCAATTTCATCTGCTACGGCTTTAGAAAACCCTCCATACGGTAGTCTCTCTCTTTCTCTCTCCCTCTCTCGCTCTTAGCATTATTTGAGTCACACAGATTCCGCCTTATCCATTCCTTCTTTTCTTTATAAGTTGAATGTTCAACGCAAAGTATAAATTTGTGTGGCCAGCCAAAACAAACCTTAAACACTCAATCGAACCGTAAGCACCAAGCAGCGTTTTGTCCGCTCTAAGCACCATCAATCACAATGTCAATCACTTGGGGCTGACCACGGACAATGGCCAATGGCCTAAGTAGATGCTTACACACAGTTAGTTCAGTCAAGGATGTGTACAATGTCAACGTTTCGGTCTCCACTTGTTGCAGGCCGGCCGCAGCATAGACCAACGACATAGACAATGGAAATTTAAGCAGCCACAGACGAGAAGTAGAACTCACGCACACACATACCCCAAACACATACCACAGAAACCATTGATGGCAAAAAGGATGTATGTGTGCGTGTTCCTTTTAATTATGCACTCGCCTTAAAGCCACAAAGTCATTTTTCGAAATGTCTTGTGTAAAACTTAAACAGGCACTAAAGCTGACCAAACACGTGCCCTAATAGAATTGTCAGCTCGCCCTTATGCGCTAACACATATTTCTGATTGTTTGTGTGTGTATGTGTGCGTGGGTGTGTGTGCGCAATGAGCCAAACTGCTTTTGTCTGCCAGTCACATAATTCAGCAAACACTTGGCCAGCAAACTCAAGTGGCACAGATAAAAGGCGTGGGCCAAATAGGGTGGGTGTGGGGCGTTTTCGGGGGCGGGAGCTGAAAAGTTTGTTGGCTCCACGACTGGCAGTTGACCTTGCAACAAAACTGTGCAAAAGTAAATAGAGCGTGAAGCGTCGAAGTGACAGCGACACCCTCGTCTGCACCCTCGTCTCCTGTTCGCTCCTCGATTGAAATTGTTTGGATTGTTGGAGTGTCAAGTGCTTTGGCATTTGTTTTATCACTGCAGCACAGTGGCTCAAAAAATCGATGAGCCAAAAATATTTTTCAGCTTATGTCTGTCATTGTTGTAGAATTCGTCTTCTTACTGACAAGAAGTTAGTGTACTTTTCTCTTATTATTTTTGCAATGCGCTGTAATCCAGATAGGACCAATTTATCACTTAGTTTAGAGTCGATAGATCGGGTTTTACTTATACTTATTAGATCCCTTAAGGCTCAACAGACATTCAAATAAAGTGAACCATGCTGCTTAGAAAATAATCATCAGAAGGCGGCGTTCACGCACAACTAACTATACTACCAATTAATGAAAAAAGAAGGTATAATAGTTCATTAGTATTTATTGAATGAGAAAGATCAGTCTACTAAACCTGAGTTAACTCTGATTACCATGGAGCCTTCGCTAACAATACTTTTGGCTAAAATTTAAAAATATAATCCTGGTATGTCCATAAAATAATTGTTTATTTAATGATGTTGTTTTCTTATAACATTTTGTATATTTACATGTTTAGTTATAAATGAATTTCATCCAACAATATTATTCATTTTTATTGAGCTATAGAATTGTCTATTTTTATTTTATATTTAAATTTTGTTTGAAGTCAGATTTCACTTTAGATATAACGTATGCCAAAAGTCATTCAGACATACATATTAAGCAACAAATTGTCAAAGATATACGGATCATGCCCTTCTCAAATTCTGATGTGTTTATTGTTGATTGCCTTTAATCAAAGTTGTTTGACAATTTCAAATGGTTTGTTGCTTCTAAAGTTCTTATTCTCAGTTTTTACTGAAGATTTTTGATATATTAAGCAAGTAATCGAAGTAGTTTTACCAAACAAGTAAGTCCTTCGAAATTAAATCGGTAGAATGAAAGGCAAAACATTTATAGTTTTCTCAGATTAGGCCAATACGGATTTAAAGCTTTCAAACTGCTTGTGAAGCAAAGTGCGGGTTGATTGCATTTGATTGGAAAAGTTATAGTCAGGCTGATAACTAAAAATTCTCTTAATTATTTGAAAAGGACAATGTATTCAAAGAACTCATACTGAGACAAAATGGTGAAGCAATTCTAAATTTCGTATCAATTTGATAAACCTATGACGAAACAGACTAAGCTGATATTTAAAAAGAGAAAAAGTTCAAGTGTGTCTATGTGTGAGTATGAACGCAGTTTAGAGTTGGTCAAATCAGCTATAACAACAACTGCTGCGGGCAGAGCTTGGGCGGAGATTACATTTTTATACCCTGTACCCAAAGGGTACAAGGGTATATTAGTTAAGTGCGAGTGCACATGGAACACACAGAAGGAGGCTTGGTAGACCCCACAAAGTATATATATTCTTGATCAGCATGACAAGCCGAGTCGATATAGCCATGTCCGTCTGTCCGTCTGTCTGTCCGTCTGTCCGTCTGACCGTCTGTCTGTCTGTATGAACGCAAGGATCTCCGAAAGTATAAGAGCTAGAATAACCAAACTTGGTATACAGATTCTCCTGAGACCGAGAAAGGACGAGTTTGTTCATTTTTTCTGATCCACCCCCCCACTCCCCCCCTATTAACGATTTTCTATAACTCCCGTAATTCTTGGAATTTTTAACTAAAATTTGGTTGTCACATTAGGTTAGTAATTATATAACTGTATACCAAGTCTCATTATGATAGAATGATCGGAAAGAAAGTTATAGCCATATAACCAGGCTCAATGCACACATACATACATATGTACAAGTACACAAACACGCATAGACACGATTCTGATGTAATTGTAAATGTATGTATGCATGCATGGAATATTTTATATTTAATTAGTTAATATTTAGTTAATTAATTAAATTAATTTAGTTAATTAATTTAATTAAATTAATTAATTAATTTAATTACTTTTTTGTGGGGTGGTACAGGGTATTTAAGAGTTGAGCCTGCTCGACTTTAGCATTCCTTTCTTGTTGGCTATAACTTCCTTTCAAACCATGATGGGCGTACAAATGATGATGATGAAGATGATCTGGTACAAAATATGACGGCCCTAGGTTTTATATTCTCGGTCTGCCACAGACAGAAGGAGCTGTTACATTTTTCTATAGGCTGTATAGAGCTGCAAAACTGTTTTGTAGAATATTATCTTGAGAGGACATTATGTTCCCGTATATAAGTGGAGAAAAGTTGTGCTTCTACAGATAGTCTGTTTTTCGCAACTTCTATGGAGAGGTAAGCATCCTGCGGCGCTGCCTTTTGCAAACTTACCCAAATGATGAGCAATATGGTCCCTTTCCTCGGACTCGCCAATAATAAAATCGGGCTGATGCTGATCCATGTGATGCAGCTCGCTTTCATCCTGAGCATGGGCGGATGGGGCAGCTGCTGCCAAAGCCAAGGGGGGCTGGGGCAGGCAGCAAATTGCAAACGCGACAATGGCGGCGACGGTGGCGGCGACAACAATTAGCCATGACGATATTTCCGGCATTTTATGCTTCCGCTGCAGTTTCATTATGCGTCGTGGCCGATGTTGTTGCTGCTGTTGTGGTTGTTGTTGCTTTTGCTGCCTCTGCTGCCTCTGCTGCCTCTGCTGTGGAAGCTGTCGCTGTCGCTGCCGATGTTGCAGCTGCCGTTGCGCCAACGTTGTTTCCGTTGTAAGCGGAAATATTTTAATTTTCATTTTTATTTGCTTGCTCGCTTGTACTTTTTGTTGTTATTGTTTGCAATTCTTGTTACTGTTGTTACTGTTGTTGTGCATGTTTTTGCAACTTACACAGTTTTCGGATATGGTTCGAGCACCCACACACTCAGAGTTAAAGCAAAAGCCGGGCTGTTGCTCGACTGGACATGGCTTGCACTTTCCCCAATTGTTTGAATTTTCTTCAACAGTTTCACTTTCTTTTGTACTGCATTTTGTCAATGGAAGCACATTTGCGAAATTTAATTTTTAAACGCTTAAAGCGACCTCCCCCTTTCGGCTTCCAGCTATTTGTCCAAATACATTTCACATTGGACAGCTGCCGGGGCAGTGTTGTGGACTATCCCTCGGCGTTGTATCTTCTGTAAATAAATAAAATATAACAATTTATGGCATCATGTTTTAATCGTTTTTTGTTTTTTTCTTGTCCGCACATTTATTATTACTATCATTATTACATATTTTTTGCTGCAAGCTTCCATTATTGCTTCATGGAAAATTATTTCATCATTTATGCATTTCCACTTGCTGTTAGTTCGCTTCGCTCTCTACATAATACATGATGAACATTTTTAAATAAAGGGCATTTAAAATATAAGCAGAAAATAATCCATAGTCCCCCCTTTGCTAAGGAAAAATCCAAAAAGGAAAAGAACCCTGAGGCAGCTGAGCGATGAAAGTGTATGGTATTTGGGACGTCGGGGGTTCATCAATCAAATGCATGTTGCTTGCAACAGCAACAAGTCAACCAAGGAGGTGTACGAAGTGTTGTAATGAGGACTTTGTTGACTTAAGGTGGAGTTTTATGCAATTCGGTCGACCATCTTAAATCACTACAAGTTTATAATAATAGACAAAGTCCGAGCATTTCAAAACTCTTCTTAAATGACATTTCATTGAAAATATTGGAAAAGGGAAACGTTTTGATCATAATAGATGGCATCGTGTCATTTTAAGTGCTCTGTGAGGTTAAACCATGCCTTTAAAAGAACTTTTTTCAAATACACTATTTGTGGGAAATAAAATGAAATATTTAATTCTGAAAAATCAGAAAAACAACACAAATTAATAATAATAATACTTTGAAAAATTGAATTTAGCCATTAAAACCTTGCAGACATAGCTAAGTAATTTCATTAAAACAGAAAATAATCCATATTAAACGAACTTCTCTTTTAATCCCAATATGGCTGTATTTTTTACCCAGCAACCACCTAGTGGGCTGCCTTTGCCGACGAACTTTCGGGTAGTCAGACCCCGTTCAAAGATCTGCAGGGACGTAAGAGCTCATGCAACCGACAGTTTTTCATGTGATAAACAATTTGGGAGCTATTGAAGTATTGCAAATATAAAAACCTTGAAATCTAAAGATACTTCTGCTTAGAGAACACAAAGCCCCATAGTATTTTCCAATGTGTGAACTGCCTGCGATATGCAACAGTTTCAGCGAAAGGCATCGTTAAGGAACTGAAAAGTAGCTTTTTGGGACACTCTTTGTCGTTTTCGCAGTTCCTGCTCCAAACTCTTCCCATGCCGCTACATTTTGCATACATTTTGTGATAATTGGAGCGGCTAAGGCGGATACTCCATTTAATTGCAGAGCGCCAAATTAGAAATCTCCGACTGGTCGCTCATAATGTGTGTGAGATGGTGGGACGAGGAGGAGGAGGAGGAGGGACAGTCGGGCAGGTCGGGAAACTTGAAACAAAAGTCAGTCGAACAGCAAGCGGCAAAAAGGCATTTAAACTTTTAGACAAGTTTAATTTCCGTCGAGAGTCGGCGGCTGCCGCGTCCGCGTTTTGTTTGCGAACAGGAAAACGAGCCGAGTCGGCGCATGTAACGAGGGTATGGAGAGCAAGAGTAAGAATTTAAAATCAGGTCGGCATATTAACAGCACTTTTTAATCAATTTATTGTACTCGCTGTGGATACACAATTGATGAAGATGCGCTTTCAATTAACTAATTACAGCGGAGAGCCGAAAGAGTTCTGACAAAGTTAAACCTCTCCTTGGCTTATCGCGACGAGCCTGCGGCACAATGCTATCATCATCTGATTGACAACTTTTGGGTTAACCTTTTGCCACCACAAAACAAAATTGTCTCTGTTATTGTTATTGTTATATCAGCTCATTATTACTTTTATTATCATCGCAGCTGTCTTCGGTCTTCGGTCAGCGGCCAACGAGCAACGGCCAATGGCCAACAAGGCTCTGTTATGTCCTTATCACTTGACCAGGTAGAATTAATGAAGAAAAATGTCAGGGCGCCTTTTGAACAGCTTTTTGTGCGTCTTTTGTGTCCCCAGCGGTTGCGTTTATGGCTTTTGGGGTGTTCTGGTTGTGGTTCGCCATTCATTGCTTTTCATTGCTCGCCACAAAATGTCATAAAGATAAAGCAAAAGGAAGAATAATACGCGTTGAAAAGTTGAATGAAATGTGACAAATGGTTTTTTATTTAATAAATTGGCTTAACCGGTTGGTTGGGGCGATGGCTGGGCCACCAAAGATGTCAGCCATCACATTTATGGGGGTAATTGAGTGAAACGAGAAAGCAGCGAAGGTTCAACTAACTTTCTTTGAAGTATGTTGAGAAAAAGGAAAGACTGTACGGTTGACTTTTTAATAAAATAAATACAATCGAAGTAAAGTGAGGAATATCATACCATCCCATTATTAAACACTTAGTCAGCTTTAGTGGATAAATAGATTAGTGAGTGATTGGAAAACTTATTGATTGAGAATAAACCAAATTCTTCCACTCAGCACAAAGTTTGCATTGCATTGAATATGTGTTGGGCTTTAAAAAGTATGTAATAATGCGAAAGCGCAGCGCCGATCCAAGTTAAATCTTATAGATCATGGATATCAGAAACAAAACTAGATCTACTTTATGAATATAATGCAACATATGAGGGTTTCTATGCATTTTATTTTCGAAATAAATGGCTAAGCCGATAGATAGGTGTCTATGAAAAAATTCATATTTAATAACATTTTTTGTTCCTCAAATGCCATTTTTTGATGGCTGTAATATTACATAAATTTCATATTTACTGCCTCAATGATTATTACTTTATTTTTAATTTTGTCAATTGTTTATCGAGGTAATCAGAAGTAATAAAAACAAAAAAAGAAGCCATCAAAGTTATTGTATCAAATAGTGAATCTGATATTTTTAACGACTTTCTCTGCTCACAGCTTGATTTTCCTAAAGAAATATCTGAAATAAATGCATAACTATTGTTATTTCTATTTCACCGATGGGTGAAGTTATAAGATGTCTGAATCATAGCACATTACTCCACAAATGAATCCACAAGCAATCTGTATGCTAATGGCTGGTAAATGCAAACCTAAATCATTCATTGACCTAAGTATACATTTACTATACATTTGTGAGCACAGTACTTAACATGATTAGTTGAACAAACCCGCTTGAAACATATATGATTAATTATTTATTAAGTATTCATTGATTTTTACATCAATATCTATGATGCGCTTTAGTTAATGTGAGTTAATGCATTCACACAATGCTCCAATTTTTGCTCCTTTCTAATCACGACTAAGACATCGAACCAATGTTGCTGTCCTCGTATCGTTGATTAAGAGCTTAGTTTGTGCGCCAGCTGGCAGGGCACTCCCAAGGCAAATCAAGGAAGTCAAACAACGTCATAATGATAAATAGCCGGGCAGAGAAGCAGACAAACAGACAAACGAATGGACAGACAGATAGACAGGCAGATGGATGGATGGTTCCAAGGACGGATGGTTGGGGGGTAAGGACACTGACACAAAAATTCCAAGTCAGCGGCAGTCAGGAGGCGATTCGGGCAAAGCAGTTGACACCTTTTGTACGGCATTAACATTTTCATTTGATTGCCGATGTTGAGTGGTTGGTGGTGGGGTGGGGGTGGGAGTGGGGGTTGCGGAGGTGTGTTGTTGTCGTTGTCTCCTTCATTTTCGTTTTGGTTATTGTTTGGCTTTGTTTTGCTCCTTTGCGTCCGACTCATTTCATTTCGTTTCGTTCGTTCGCTCCATTTTGTTGCTGTTGTTTCTGTTGTTGTTTATCGCGAACTGTCAATCGTTAAATGACAAACAATGAAATGCGGCAGCGACTGCGGCGCGGCACCAAATGGCGGCTACGATTTCAACTGTAAATGGCATGCTCATACCGCTAATCCTGGCGTTCGTTTGCGCGCTCCTGGCATCATCCTCAAACGGAAATGAAATAACAAATGATTGCAAGTGCCGCACCACCTCCTATTTCTATTCCTCTTCCTGCCCATGCTTTGTCGTTCCTTTCATATTTCTCACGCGATGTTTTGTTTCGCTTCATTCATTCATTCATTCATTCAGTTAGTCAGTCAGCCATCCGTTCTCCTCCTTTACCGCATTCTTTTCAATACTGCCCTGACATTTTTGGAAGCGTCTTTCGCGTGTCAAAAACTGCAGCCAAATGCCAAATAAAAGGCTTGTTTATGTCACCTGCTAGGGTTGTCGTCGTTTTGTTTGTTGACTGCTTCTAGGGCGGAAGCGAAAGGGCGACAGGAATGTGGCAGGTTCTCTTGTTATATGCACAAATCGCATTAATTTAAGTAGCTGCTCGCTAAAGCGATTGTTCGTCACTCATTGTAGCACTGTGTTGCTAAATACAAGTAGTCCCCAGTACAGGCTTTATAACATTATTGAAATTTTAATAGCCAGCCCTACTCGTACATTATTTAATTTCGCTGAGCCGAATTTATTCAATGCCATAAAAAATAGCTTCCGAATTCTGGCATATCTGCGATGAATATTGTCTGCCTAAACTTTTAAGGCTTTTCTTCAATTATATTAAAAACCCATAACCGAAAACCCAAACCAATAATTATACTCATTTTTATAAAGGGCACAACCAAAACCAAAATAAAGCATGTGAAGACGATTTGAAAACTCCAAAATAAATATGTAAAACCTTTTATGATCATATACATTGATATTAATCAGTTATTATTAAGATTTTGGATAGTCCATATATCGATCAAATAAAGAAGGGATTCGTAATGGAGAACTAGAGGATTATAGAAGGGTGTACGCAGAGGGAAGAGGGCGACACACAACCAAAATCTTAAGACAACAATTTTCGCAATCTAAATTCGACCACTCATTCATTGAACTGAGTTGGACTTTTTAAAGTTTTTCTGTTGATCATATGCATACATTATTATTTTAGTGCACCGTACTTTATTTTTATCAATAATACACCGTGAGTGGCTAAGGATGGGTATGAGCTGTAATTTGTTCGTGGCACGACGTAAAACACCGCGATGCTTT